CTTGGCGGCAATGGGGCCTTGGATGCTATAGTAATAATCATCAACTAGTAGTAAGACGATTTAACATCAACTGCAGACGTGGGTTATAATCATGCAACAGTTGCCTTGATTTTACGTTACTACTAAGAAGATTAGATTCCAACGCATGGAACCTACGAACGTCACCATCCGCATCCATATAAATACTGTTTGTGGTTGACGGCTCAGCATTTTCCACCGCTGAATGGAAGCTTTCTACAATCATTTCGGTGATTTGCATTCCAACAACAACTGTACTATAGACGGAGAGGAACCGGACAACCAGAAATTCGCAGCATCTCATTCTCATGAATCGGGTGATGTTTCTCCATTTCATAACTTTCATTTTCAAGAATCTGTTGTTTTTGCGCTGCTCTTTCATGGCTTTCGAGCTTGCTTTGAATTTTAGGCTACCCACGTGTTGATATATTACAGGCGGCCAGACGCAAAGTTTTATTGGTTTCTTCTCTTCTTTCTTTTCAAAAAAAAAAAAGAAAACATCAAATATGTATGTGTATGTGTGTGTATATATATGTATTAGAAAAGATGAGAGTAAATGAAAGTAGTCGATTTTTTCTTTAAAAATGCACCGCGGGATTTTGCCCCTCATATATTAAGCGAAATTCCACTCATATAGTTTTCCTACAATTTTTTTCGAGCTCTTGTAGGAAAAATTAATCCTATTCAGATTGAACGAAGCCAAACAAGGCGCACATTTTACATTATGCAAAAATGGACAATTCAAACTTTACAGTATAAAACTACAAAAGTTAAAAATTATGCATACGCTGTTGTATGCTATGTTTATTCATTTAGTTTTGTAGCGTCCAGCCAAATTATAAACCTTAATCTGCAGATTAATAAGATATAAACAACCAAGATTGTTTTCGTATATGATTCGATTAACCTGCACTTGTTTTTTCGGGTGGTCTTCAAATTAGGTTTCCAGTTGGATTATGTCCGATTAAATACTCTTCTTTTAAAGATTATTAAAAAAAAAAAAAAAAAAAGGAGCCTTGTTCGTGTCATTGAAAAGCACGCAAGATTTGATTGATGAATTTGTAGGACACCAAACTGATTGAGTCAACGTAAGGGAACAAAGAATTGGTTGTGATCTCACGATCAAAGCCACTGGTTAGGATTAAGATTGATGCGCACAAAGCGTGACGGCAAATTGATTCGTGTTAATCCCCAACGCGTTTTCTTTAAGATAATTAGTGGGTCCGCAAAAACCAAACATGAATCCCACGAGAATCAATTATTAATGCTTTGATTAAACAACTTGTTGCTCATGGAGGAGGCAAAATTTTTTTCCCCCAATCTCTGCAAGGCTCTATAATTGATTATAATCATAATTCAATAAAGAAATCAACTTCTTCTTGATGAATTTTGTGACTCAGCTAGATTCTCAGTCATCTGAAGCTGTCTAGATAGTGCCTTCTAGAGCTGGCAATTTGTCCCAAGTCCCAATGGGCTACCCATGCCCAAAGGAACTTTGGGCGGGATGGGTATTATAATTTGGTATTGGGTTTAAGTTGGGACACATCCCAACTATACCCATTAATGAATGGGAAAGGATGGGAAATACTTGGGTACCCATTGGGCTCAAATGGCAAGGGCTCCGTTTGGATTAGCTGTTTTTGGTAGGTGTTTTTGAAATATTTTATTGTAGCAGTGTATATGAAAATTTTTTACTATAAAATTTTTTTGAAATATTTGATATATTAATATGGATGGGATGTTTCTTGAGTTATTGTATATTACTGTAACATTGTATTTGAAAAACTTATTTTTTGAAAAAAAAGTCAATCCAAACGGAATCTTAGATTCAAAAATTATCTTTAACAATTTTTATAGTCATACCAGCGAATATAATCTAGTAGTCTTCCTAGTCATTATCCACAAGAATTTCCAGCATTTCAGTTAGTTTAGACCTGTCATCCTTGGACAATGATAAGGATAAATATTCAACATCCTAAGGACCTTGGCCATCTTGATATATGTTGGAATATGGCTGTATATCTATCTTTTCCTTTATTTGTTAATCCAATTTTTGGTGGAATCTTGAGTATAAAGCACTTACATGTTTATTTAATAAAACTAAAAGAAATTTAATAAATCAAAAATATTAAAATTATATAAAAATAAAAAATGAATTAAAGGAAAAAAAATATGTAGAAAATGGATTTGGGTATTGGGCGGGATCAATCTAAACCCATCCCAAAATGATCCCGCCCAAGTTAGTCCCAAAACACATATGGGTAAGGTTGGGCCCAAACCCATATGACTCGGTTCCATCTCAAACCCAAGCAAATCCCGCCCATCCCGCCCATTTTGCCACCTCTAACAGGTACAAACAAATAGTCATGCAGCTTTGTTCTCGTTTGCTCAGTTGTAGAGCCACGAACAAAGGAGCACCATTTAAGAAGCCCAGTTGAAAAAGTAATTCACAATAATCTCTGGAAAAGAAACTGAGCGAAGTACACGCAACCTGATCTTGATCAAGAATAATCAAGACTTCACACCATGATCAAGCCTGCAATATCTTTAATACTACACATATGCGACTTACCATCATAAATTCTTCGTGTTAAAAGCATCTTATGCAAATCCATTAGCTTACAAAGCATCTCAAGACAGAAAACCAGGGCTTACGTTGGCAAATCTAAATGGACATATTTATGAGCCAATTCCTCCTACAAGAAAACTTCCAAGTGTATCTACTACTAAACCTAAACCGATGCATTTGACGGTCCGCACAATCATCTGAGCGGCTATATTGCTGATTCTCCGGATTATACAATTTGTGCTACCCTACTAGAGTTTCATACATGTACCATCGTAAATGCACAATACGAGAGAGCACAAGGTTGACGACAATGACAAAGCAAAACCCTCCCTGCCATTATAAAGGAAAATTGAGAAAATGCCAAAACAAAATTTAACCGTGTACTTTGAAACCAATGCCCCACGTCAAGGAGTTTGTTGATTCAACAATACAATTTTGTTATCAACTCTTTATTTTCTTAAACAGCCAGCTATGCATCAAGTTTGACTTGTGGTTGTCGTTGCCACCAACTATTAAGCTACTATCATCTGACGACCAAATTATAATAGGAATTAGCAAAATCCTTTTTGGTTTGTCCCAGTAACATGTTGTTGCACATAAAACCTTTAACTGGGCTAAAAATCTCTTAGTCTATCCACCAGGGAAAATTAAAAAAAGTAATAATAATAATAAGAAAAAATAAAAGGGCAAAGAGATAGCAACATTCATGAAATTTAGTTTTTTCATACATGTCAATATAACCAGGGAAACATTCATGAAAAGTTTTCATCCTTGGAACTCTCCAAAAAGGCAGAAATAACCAGGGATTTCGTGTTCAAGCAAGACAAAAATTTCTGACAGTCAACTGTGGGAAATCTATGTGAGGGCAAAACCATTGGAGATTAACTCATCATGTCGAAGCTACTTTCCTTCCATTTCCCTCATTGATTCTAAAATGACAGACTACAAGAAAATTACTCCAATCACAACAAACATGTCAAGATAATTCTAAGTGGATATGCAGTGAAATATTCTCAGTTGCAACATCAAAGACCAGTAACCCCACAAACATCCCTATTAATGTAACAGAGTGATGAATAATCCTTCTAGACTATGATTGAGGTGCGCTAAACAAAAAGTTCAATTGCCAATGACAATTTCATTAGATGCATAGCACATGCAATATAAGGCAAAAATGAATAAAAGTATTCAGTTTGAACAGCAAAAGGACAATTAACAAAGTTGGACAAGGGGTTTTCCAACAAGCCTTACAGGGAGCTCAGCTCTAAGAACTCTGAATCATTAATTTCTTTTTAAAATATATAAAAACTACACCAGCCTGCTAGTGACCTGATCCTAAGATCTGCAACTATCTTTCCAGAGTGGGTACCAAATCGGTAGAAACTGCAGTAATGGGCTCCTCAACATGGAACTCAGAGCCCAATATATCAATAACAGATAACTTCCCAAAAAACACTGGTGCCATTTTCCAATCTTGTGTGCATTTGTCATTTTCATAACCCTGAGTTACATTATCTATACCTGCACAACCAAAAAGACTAAGAGATACGAAATAACACCAGTGCCATTTTCCAATCTTGTGTGCACTTCTCAAAGTAGAAAAGTGAAAACTGCTCACCTAAAATTACCCTAAAAAGATGCCCTCCCCCCAAAAAAGTACAGACATGGGTGGGTGGGTGTGTGTGTGTGTAGAGAGAGAGGGTGGAGAGGCGAGAGAGAGAGATTTAATGACATTGCACCAACCAAATTTCAACAACTTAATCATTGACTACTTCTCTAACTCCACTGAACCTGACAAAAACGTCTTAAACTCAAGCCAGTGAGGGAACTCGAAAAATCTATCATGTTCTCACCAGGCCAAGCAAAACAGACAGTACATTGGACAACTTGTTCTTTGAGTTTGATATTGGTATATAATAACTATTACAATATAAAAAATCCAATACTAAGAAGCTAATGACCATTATGCACAATGAATGAGTAAAACATTGTGTCGACACCTAAAGCCTCTGTAATGCAGATAATTGACAACTTAATGCAACAACAAGAACATTAGTGACTGGTGCATTTTATCAAGAACAAAAATGCAGAATGCAGAATTTCCTACGGACTAGACCTGTCAGTTTAAGAAATGAATACAAGTAGCAAACTATGCATAATCCTCGGACATACATACTGCGCAGCCTGTCTCAGAAGATTTCTCAATATCAGAAAACTTCTTCTAATTCACGATAATAGCCAAATGGGACTAGTATAAATTTGTTACCATACTCAAAAGTAACAGAAAAGAAATATTGCAATGCTTGAAATCAGGAAATTAAAAGAATGGTAGCTGTCCCCTTTTTGCAATTTTTATTTTGATATCTGTATTTTTTATCTATTGATGCAAATAGAACAAAGGAAACGATCCTCAGAATGCTACTCCACCAACTAGGGGAGGCAAAATTCCAAGTTTTCAAATACAAGTGAGGTCTCGCTACAATAAGCGCATTTCATTCTTGGAAGAACAATTTAAGACACATGAAACTTGTTTCCATCTACAAATAATCATACTTCCGTCTCATTCAAGGTTCATATGTTGAATATAACTTGGAGTTTCCCAGGGAAAAAGAACTGATATAACAAACACCAATTTAAGAGAAACTACATGGCAAAGGAAAAACAACAGAGGGAAACAATTAAAGGAAATGACTTCCATAACTCTAACGTTCAGAGGCACTGTGGTACATGAAGCCGTGTACCTTCACATTCCAAGGAGCCAATTTAAACAATAGAGTGTTCCTCTGACGATCATCTGCCATTGTTTTGATCTTGTTCCTATCTCCTTCTGCCAGTATATTAACCATCATCAATGCATCACTGGCATAATGAAAAATTAAACCGGCCTCATTGCATATTAGGCTATTTACAACTTGCAGCAAATTAGACCATTCCATAAAAGACCAGAGGACCCCTCACACCCCGATGATCACCACTCAGCTTGCTTTTAAATTACCTTCCAAATTTACCATCTTCGATTCCCACCGTTAATATCAAAGGCCCAGTATCTACGCCCTGTTGTTCCAGAGCTAAAAACAGATGAGAATGACCTATTTCTCCGAGTTACCCTTGAATCTGAACTTGAATTAGAACCTGATGAACTATCACCAACACCACCAAAACAGGCAAACAAATTTCGAAATGCCCTCCTCAGTCCTCCACTTTGCCGGGAAACACCCCCTCTTGAACCCCAAGATATCCTCCTAGGAACCCCATTATTATTAAAACCACCATCCATCTCAGTATAAACTACTGGGAGCTCTCTTTCCCCATTTCTTCTCCCACCCGAGAACCTCCCAACCGCGAAGCCACCACCGGGCAATCTCCAAATAGTTAAACCAACAGTGTCATCATCATTTCCAACTCCAGTCTGCTCATTAGATGATCTGTTCGATTCACCTGAATCACGAGCATCAGTTGGTAACTCATGTCTACAAACTGGGCAAGAATTTCGCAGCGAAAGCCACGGGAGAATACAATCTGAGTGGTATATGTGTTTACAGGGCATTTCGCGGGCCTCGCAACCCAACTCAAAGGGCTCTTTGCAAACAGCACAGTGGGATTCAGTTGTCGTGTGACTCTGATTTATCTCAATAGTAGGCATTGACTCAATAGCAGCTTTCGAGGCGGGCGGATTATCTATTCTCCCAATCCCATTCGCTTCAATCTGAGACAACTGATCCAAAAGCCTGTCAAAACCCGAACCCAGTAAAAATTCCGACATGCTGGCAGGCAAAGGTCTCAACCCCGAACCAGCTCCATCATCATAATACAACTCAAATCCACCACCACCACCGCCACCGCCAGCAGCCCCACCGCCACCGTCAGCCGGCCCACGAAGCACTATAACCGGATTAAAGGGAGACCTGTCACCGCCGTTCCTCCGGCTTCTACGTAAAGCAGGACTAGAGCCCGAACCGGAGCCAGAGCTGGAACCGGGGGGACCTTGACCCGAATCAGAATTTCTCATCATGTACATGGCCGCAGCGGGGAAACGGCGTCGTCTAGACTCGGAAAGTGAGGATCGAGTGGGAGTCTCGATTTCTTCAACGAATCCACCGTTGCAATCAGGGCAAGTAATGGAATCTTGGGTCCAGACCCGAACAAAACGATTGCATCTATAACACCAATAAGATGAAGGCATAGACATCTACACTTTAATTTATTCTATACAAACATATAATAAATCAAAACCCTAATCCTCAAATCAGATCTGGCAATAACCCCGCAAGATCGAAGCTTTTACCTAAACAAATTCGAGAAATAGAGGGAAAAATACCTTGAATTATATCAAAAATTGAATAAAAATTTTTCAGGAAAAAAAATATGCCTGCAAAATTGAATTTGTAGATTGGCCGGGGAGGAATATTCCGGCGAAGAAAGAGAGAAAGGATGGGGCAACCGGGGGCGAGGATGGGGGCCAAGGGGGTGTTTGGTTGGAGAGAATGAGGTGAGAGACGTATAAGAGAGGGTGGTTCGAGGGTAAAAGTGGAAATAGAACGCTTGGGGAGAATTGAGTACGGATATTTAGCGTGAAATCAACGCTGTGAAGGGAAGACACGTGGCGTAGACTGCGCTTTGTGGAGCGTTTGACCAACAAAATTTGGTGACTGGGGAAATTGAAAATGTAAAAAATGGTTTTAAAGGCGTGATCCTTGATTCCAGTTTTAATTCTCAATTATTCTTTGCTGGTTTGTTTGCCTTTTCACTGGGGCCACAATCTCTCCTCATTTTTAGTAAAGGAGTAATTTTCCGGGTAAATTGATTGACGTGCGATTTCCAAAATTTCACCTCCTTTTTATTTGTTTCTATATAGTAGTTTCTAGTGTCTGGTACCTTTTTTTTTTTTTTCTGAGTTGACTTTCCAATACCCCTTCTCCACATATTTTAGATTTCAATTATTGTGTTATGATGATAACAGAAAAATGTTTGCTTTCGTTTAAGAAACTATTTTCAAATTCAATTTCCACAATTATACAACACATCAAAGATTTGTTCACCTTTCTTGAGATTATACCAAATCATTCGGTCACCATAACTTTTTGTACGTTAATTTTTTAGACTAGCCATGATTGTTTTAATGAAAGAATTTATTGTCAATTATTAGGGAATTGTCGAATTCATTCCAAAATTAGCCTCATTTATTATCTCAAAAAAACCATCTTTATCTATATGTATTACAGAGTGGTTTTTAGGAGAGAACCTCTCAATAACTTCCAAACTTCTCATTCTTTTTTCTATATTTTTTTATTTATTTTAATACATAAAAAGTAGTGGGTTATAACTAACCCTATCACCAGTGAAATTTAAAATTTAAAACTTTCCCACTATATATTTCATAAACCGTTTATAGTTTGTTATATATACTTTAAATCCTTTTTACTCCTTAATTAAATATAAATGCTCATTCGTATGCTATTTTAATACAATTTTACATTTTTATAATAAAAAAATATTTATCACTAAACTAATCCTATAACCACCCCTGTAAATGTGCTTTGCAAATCACAATCACGTTTCAAAAAAATCACAAATGTGCAACTAAATGTAAAGTTGAGGGGGTAAAGTGCAACTAAATATAAAGTTAAGGTGCTTACTATATTTAACCCTCTATGTATTGCAGAGTGGGTTTTTAGGAGAAAGCCTCTCAATGGCTTCCAAACTTCTCATTCTTTTTTCTAATTTTTTTTATTTATTTTAATACATAAAAAGTAGTGGGTTATAATCAACCCTATCACTAGTCAAATTTAAAATTTAAAACTTTCCCACTATATGTTTCATAAATCGTTTATAGTTTGTTATTTATACTTTAAATCTTTTTTACTTCTTAATTAAAGACAAATACTCATTTGTATACTATTTTAATACAATTTTACATTTTTATAATTAAGAAATATTTATCACTAAACTAATCCTATAACCATCCCTGCAAATGAGCTTTACAAATTACAATCATGTTTCAAAAAAAATCACAAATGTGCAAATAAATGTAAAGTTGATGGGGTAAAGTGCAACTAAATATAAAGTTAAGAGGCTTACTATATTTAACCCTAAAAAAATCGCAAGAATGGAACAATTATTTTTTTTTCCTTTTAGGATGGCCGAACATCCATGTGCAGTGACCAAAAAATTTTCTCTTTCTTAATGAACGTAAGATGGTCAATTTATTTATTTTTTAAAAATGAATAAGGCTGTTTCATATAAATAAATAAAAAAAGAAACAAACCCAGGTTCCTCCATTGTTATGATTTTTTTCACCATTATTCTAAGAAATTTGCTAAATTGAGTTCTTCAGGGCAAAAAATGAAATGTGTGACCAGTCTTTTTTTTTTTATTTGTGTGACTAGTTTATTGTTGACAAAAGTTTAAATTTTTTTAAAAGTATATAAAAATTAGGGGAGATAATATTAGGAGTTTATAGTAAATTTACCACACTTCTGATGTGGTTTTCGCCTGTCCAATACCATGAAAGAATAGAATAAACCATTATCAATTATTACATGTTAAGTAGAATTCGGAAGCATACAATATGATCAAGAAACAGTAGAACCAATTAGGACTAGATTTTGACCCAAAAAAAATTAGAACTAGATGCCACTGACATGTTGTCGTAACTTGCTATGCCAATTAGGACTATTTTGCTTTTTTTACAAGGAATTAGGAACTGTAAAGTTTATTTAGGCAAACTTTACCTCAACGGTGATTGGAGTATACTACAAATCCTATAATCATGCTCACATTTTTCCCACATCTTCCACTCCAATTAAGAGTCCTCCAATTTAAGAAACTAGTGTGAATACCCGTGCTACGCACGGTGCCTACATTATTAAAAAAAATTACAATCTATGGAAGAATTTAAAAATAGTAAAATATTATAATCACGGGCACATGAAAGTATATTTAAAAAAATGAAACTTTGTAACAATAGTTCAATATATGATAAAAACATCTCCATTATTTATAAACGATCATTTCGATGAAGGTTGGATCCTGAAAAAAAAATAGAAATCTATATCATAAATTGAACGACATAAGGGTCCAATTAAATATAATTGAATATTTAATTTGATAAGTAAATGAAATACTTACAGACATTTTGCCTTTGATTTGATAATCTTCTACGAAGGTGTGAACATTCTTCACACCAGTCAACTCTGAGTACGAACGCCAGTATTGGGGGTTTAATTAATTCTGTTGTTTTTTGTGGAGTTCACACTATAAATGAGAATGCACAATTTTTGCATGAATTAATGTGTTGGTCGAACAATGCACCTCCATTTTTCTGACAATTAAAAGCATACATAGTTCAAAATTATCTTTTGTTTTAGACAGTTTGTAAATAATATTATGTAAAAAAAATATACATATAAATAATGTATACCTTTGTTTTTAAATCTCTAAGATAAGAAACATCACAACGAAACATGAATCGTGCATGCCTGTCTTGAAGAGCGAAGTATAGTACCGAAACTTGTAAACAATGGAAACAACAATTATATTATAATATTGAAAATATTAGTAATAATTGAAATTACAATGAAAATGTCAATATTCAAAGAATAAATAGTACCGAAACTTCTATTTTGATACATAAGATTACTGTCCATAAGATTACACCTAAAAAGTATATTAATTTTTAGGTGCCATTGTCTCATATGTTCTCGTAAGCAATGTTTTGCAAGATTCTTAGGTGCCATTGTCTCATATGTTTTTGCAAGAATTATTTTTTGAATCTATTCCCTTTTTTTTTTTTTTGCTCTTTCTCTTGATCGTCAACATTTTTGTCTTGCACGATTCCAACTTTTCATAGCAAAATTACAGCATAATCCAGATTTAAGCAGCCCAAGGACATGTAATGCAGTAAGACACAAAATCTGCCAAAAAAAAAAAACCAAAACACAAAAAACGAACCTACCCGCTAGTAGTAATCTCTTAATGTCAACCTTCAGAACATCTTATTTCAAAGAAACGAAGAAACTCCAAAAATCACAACTCATAATTAATAGTACTACTATTTTGCGTGAGCAGAATTAATAGTACTACAGCAATATGCTACCATATTAACAGTTTGGGGGAAAACCTACATAAGTCACATCATGAGCACAACTCATGATATGATCAGTTTTTCAGCCATAATGTGGGACGTAGTATACTTTTGGGAATTACTCATTATCTTTGTCAAATTTAAAGGGCTATAGTGAAGCACTTTAAGCATGATCTTCCACCAAAAACTTCTGCAATAAATGCAAACTGCATTCCTTGTTCAGTATAATATTTCAGTTAATTTACATTACCTTACTTTTATATTTTTTTCAAAAGAAAAAAAAAGAATGTTACATTAGTCCCTCGTCAGTTTCCCAAGCTATTTGTCTCTAAGTCTGGATAGTCACTCGAGGTGACTGGAGAAAATATCTTAATCTCCATTTTTGTTCTAAACTTTTAGCGCTTTGTGTGTAGAAATAATAGCATTAATGGGAAGACATTTAATGAAAAAATAACGTTTTCCCTAATCAAAGTTATGACCATGTTCTGGGACTAATCTGATTAATTACTAATACAATGAGAACTATATGTCTAAATGCCTAAACTCACATAAAAGCCATAGTACCATACTTTGTTGATTGAGCCAGCAAGGATTAGTATGGAAACAACAATAATATTACAATATTGAGAATATTATTAATAATTGAAAATACAATGAAAATATCAATATTAAAAGAATAAATAGTACCAAAACTTCTAATTTGATTGGCGCGGCGTTTGAGTCGGTGTAGTCGAGATTTTATCCATCGTAGTTGATGTGAGATTTTTCTTTCGTCGACGCAAAGTTGTTGGAACTGTTCCAATTCTTGTGCGGGACCGTTGTGGCGTCCTTTTCATTTTGTTAGCAGATGTTTCCTCCTTTGCAATCTTGCGAGTTTGAAATTCAGGCATTATTGACATGCCTGTAAACTGCCATGTTCCATTATGAAGTTAATTTGAGAGGTTCGAGAAGGAAGTTGATTGGAAGGGTTTTAAGAGTTTTTTGTTTGAGGGAACGTGAGAGTGTTAGAGTTTTAATGTAAGTGGAAGTTAAATTTTTGTTTGAGGGGACGTGGGAGTGTTAGTTGAAGTTAACTCCTTATTTGAGGGAAACGTGGAGATGTAATGTGCCCATGATATTTTTTACGAAATAAGATAAATGTGAAATGCTAGGAAAATAGAGTTGAGAGTGGGAAGGGTTGTGGAGGCTTGTTCCTAAAAATCCCTTCTCAAATTTATATAGATATAGATAGATATTTATCTCTTAACTAATCCTATAACCGCTCCTAAAAATCCTATAATCATGCTCACGTTTTCCCTACTTTCCCCCACTTTTCCATTCCAATTAAGACTCCTCCAATTTAAAATTTTCACTCCAATTAAAAGTTCTAAAAAACATAGCATCCTCATTCAACTTTCTTGCGTGGTCACTCCAATTAAGAGAACTTT